ATCAAAATTGAAGCCACATGTACTGCAACTGAATGACTTGTTCATATGAAACTTCATACAATTCAGGTTCAAGTATAATAATCAAAATTGAATTTATATAGACTGCACTTAAATGACCTGCTAATATGAAATTTCATATAATAGTTATTTAAATAAACTAATCAAATTTGGAGCTGCACATGCTGCAACTGTGTGATTTGTTCATATGAAACTTCATATAATTCATGTCCAAGTGAACTAATCAAAATAAAATTGACATATACTGTAAGTAAGTGAGTTGCTAATATGAAGCTTCATGTAATTAATATTCAAGTGATATAATAAAAATTGAAGCAATCTCAGTCTGCAGCAATAATGACAAATGTGGAAAATTATCAAATAAAACTATATTAGCAAGAACTAGTAAGTTCGTCAAACTACGAACATCAACTCAATTGCTACCCCCACCTACAAAATGTAGACAATAACAAAAGATGCTATTTAAAAAATAAATAGAAAGAAATATTTCGACTTAAAAGCGTGGAAAAAAGAAACTGCATAGCTCACATTAATGAACAATCTAAATTAAACAGTCCAAATAATCCATATATGAATTTGAGTCGAATAATGCAACATTTAAGTCAGCACCAAAATACAAACGAATAAAATTCCTATTATCACTCCCCTAATGAAACCAACCATAATGAAAGTTGTATCGATTGAACGATTGCATTGGACCTAGTAAGACGTTTCGTACCAAGACCCAGAAGTAATAATTGCGACGGGTCGTTGAAGCGTCACGTTTGAAGCGTCGCGTCGCCTTCGGCGTCGATCCTCTTGTCAGTCAAAAAGCTGCAGTCACAACAATCCGGCGGGTGGTTGCTCGATGGACAGACAGCTGTCCATTGAGAGAAGAACTAGCTTTTCGTGAGAGGTTTGTCTTCATAAAAGCGAGATATCGAGGCATTATTCAGAGTCTAGTCTCTCTATTCTGTGTCACTAGCAGTCAGAAGCCGTAACAAAGAGGAAAGGCTAACTCGATGGGCGGAATTTTTCACGAAAAACTCGCTGTTCCCTCGAGAAAGATCTTCCTTTACCACGCCCGCAAATTTTCCCGTTATTTGGTTCATGTTTTGGTTCATCGAAAGTGTTGCAAGGATTTCAGAAAATTCAATCGGAAAAGTCAATCGGAGTTATCCAATATTTTACCAGAAGTATAGATACAGAAGCACTCGGTTGTAATTGTTGGATCATTGTGTTCATGTTTCCGATCAGCCGTTATCAATCATTTTAATTGCTCGATGATTAAAAGAGTATTTTATGCTCCTGTTGATGTTGTGGAACGTTTCATTAAACACTAGTTATTCTGGGTTCTTTACATGGATGAAGTTGATCGATTAATACAGAAATGCAACCCCTCTTTGCTTCAGAAATAAGATACAGGGCGACACGAAAGGGTTTGGGAAATTACTTCATCAAATACAACTTTCTCCTTATTTTCTCGGTGCTAAAGTACGAAACAATGGATCGAAATTACAAGGTATTTCGATTCAATGTTAGATGACACGATATTCAATGTAAAATTAACCCCTTGCCATTCAATTTATTTGTTCGATGCGTCAGTCAAAACTACTATTCTCAGCTATAATGTTAAAGCAAACAAAATTAAAATGTTGTGAATATTTTATATGTAGCGATCCTTAATACGACTCCTGCAAATTGTAGTTCGTCTTAAATTTTACCTGAAGAGTATTTAAAATTTGAGTAAGATTTGTCAAAGTAACTTGAGTAACATTTAAGTTCTAAATGCGTCATGTGTAAGACTCGTCAAAGTACAAGGGGTTAAAAGTCCTTCACAAACGATATTTATTGTCTGAGCAGTGATCGAACAAATAAAGGAGTCATAACGATTTCAAATCCCGTGACTCCACGTCGTATCACTTCGAAACTCGGCAAAATTCTCACGAGGAAAAATTTTGACTCGTGTTCGAGAAGTCTGAGATGGTAGAAGAAGAAAGAAGACGGGACGTGTTGTTGGTCGCAGATAAAAGGGAACTGCAGCAAGGCGACTGCGGCTTAGCATGACAATGCAGGTGCCTCATCCCACGTCAAAACTCAGCGTGGCGCCACGACAAGATAGGTACCAGACCGATCGACTGGTTTGTAATTGTTTAAGAGGATTAGCCGTCGCGAAGTTTACGCGTGTCCACGGTAGAAGGATGGAAGAAAAGCCTGCCGCTGATATTTATCCGGACATTAGACTCGGCTAAACTCGAATTTACCGTCTGATCCGGGAAAATTCCATTAAAACTCGCTCCGACCTCCAAATCACACGCCTCATCGAACAACAATCGAACCAACAGACGTAAGCTTAAAGCTGACCACTTTACTTTAAGCCACAACCACTTCAAGTTTCGTGTCAATTCACTTGATTACTAATGTTGCGAAATGTTAAGTACAATTTGTTTCATATTTTAAACAGAAGAAGATGGGTACCTAACCTCAACACAACAATCTTAATCTAAACTTCTGAAAACGTACTACTTTGATTAAGAACCCCAACATTTTAGATATGAAGCTTCATACAGTGACCCAATAAAATATACACTCTGAAGTGCCAAAGATGAAGCTAACAACAAAACTGTTATAATACTTAATTTGTTATATTTTGAAGTCCCAAAGATAAAGCTAAGAACAAAGCTGTTGTAAGCAATACTCAACTCGCACCATTAAGAGTAAATGACATACATAAGGACATGTAGCAAGGAAAGAAGCGAAAGGACGTGTGTACGGGGGCGTTCAGGTGAAAAAAATCGGCCGACAGTGAGAATCAGAACTATGAGACGTCATGGAAGTTCGATCAAGATGAAGATTTCCTGATCTGATGGCTTGGACAGAACGGATGTCGCGGGTGGCCGCAGGTGGCGCCCTCGATATAAGCTCTCTTGACTGAACTGCTGATACGGGACCGCTCTCCTAAAACTTTCACGGCGGAATGTGTCATCCTGTCACTGAACCCACATGGGGTACCAGACGTCCCATGGGCCCGTCACGCGTCTTCCATGCCTCCTCCCTCTGTGACGGTTCTTATGGATCCGGCCCTCCAAGATAATCGTCCGCCATTACGTAATATCAAAAATTTTCTTCCAGCTCAACTGTAACGGAAGCGATTCTTTTCTGGGAATCGTCGTTCATCGGTTCACTTTGTCAAACTTTATCGTAGTTAACGAGAGATGGACCTAAGTATGCAGAATCCACATCTAGGAGTATAGGGATTTAGAGGTATAGAGACACAGAGATTGAGGAGTATAACAAATGAGGATACAGAAACGTACTTAACAGTACATCGATCGATACCAAAAATTTCATCGGTACCAATAGCAAAATTATCTCTGGACATACAGAGTTAGATGTCATCACTTTGTAACAAGACGCGGAATTGAAATTTGATGAAAATGGAAGCTAGATTTGGAGCGACAAATAACGGGCGCAGCATAGAGCTCGTGGTCCCGTAATTAACCCATCAGCCGTCAGGCGTTAATAAAAGCGCAGGATGTCGGGACGCAGTGTCCAGAGACAGGTGGGACACGCGTGTACACAGGAGAAGAGTGACCGGTTGTAGAGGAGCGACGGAGACGAGGAAGCAGCAGCGGTGCCGGAGGAGGCAGATGAAAGAAGGAGCTGAGAGGAAGACGGGGTCGAGGGGCTGGTCGGGTATCCTGGAAGGTGGGCACCGAGATATAATACTCGACTACCTCTACCCGCCACGATAAGTGTCAACTGCAGCGTGCCAGATAAAAAGGAAGGAACGAAAAATAAAATTTACCTCGGTGATCCATCATGAGGCTACGGGCGCCGGACGCGCAGGCTCGACCACGATTGGCTGGCTCCGCCCATTCGCGTTCACGTGGTCAGCGTCGAGGACACGCCCAGTTTGGAAGAAGGCAGCACCTTCTCGTCGGCTAAGCGTACGAACAGCCAGGCTTTCGACGAAGAGAGAGAAAGAGAAGGATAAACTGGACACACCAGACCCCTGTGGCTCGGGTCTCACCTGCGTGCAGCCTTCGACCGTGCCGCCTTCCAGTCCACTCTACCTAGCCAGTCCACTTCTGCGACCCTCGTCGACCGGATCGACGACTACGCGTCCGCTCTTCTCGTTATTTCCGCGAACAACGGCGCGTTCCCGCGCGTCCACTGCCGCGCCGCGGACGTGCCTCGGGATCGCTCGCATCCGCGTCTACCTTCCTCTCGATTCGTCTTCGAACGTCATGCTAATCTTCTTCGACGAGTGAAGCACCTTTATCGCATCCTAGACCCAGATTCGACCGTTATCGAAGCATGAAACGTTTCAAGTGTGTCGGTCTGTGATATATCTGTGCTCCTGTGCTGGAGAGGTTACCGGAAGCTCGTCGAGAAGTGGTGACGAGTGATCACGATGTAAACCGTTTGCTCGATCGATCCCGACCTGAGACTTTGCCCTCCCGATAAAAACAAAGTGCGTACAGTGAAGGACACGGTGGTCAGCAGCAGGTGGCCAATTGATGTATTCGCCTCCCCGTTACAAGGATGATGATGATGGACATGGGCATGTACGGAACTTACGGCAAGCCTGACTCATACCCCAACTACGTGTGCACGGGTCAAGGGAATCATCATCATCAGCCCGTGTCCGTCGGAGGACACGTGCCGGTACCACCCTCGCCAGAACTCGCTCCGGCTCATTATTTCCCTCAGACGGCCGTCTCCCCTTATTCCTCCTCGTCCTCGGAGAGCTTTCTTGCCGCGGAATCCGCTACCTCCTCCGGTACTCCTCCCCAAGGATTCTACTCCCCGACGGCGGGCGTTCTACACGAGGACGGAAGCACCACCGCGATCATCTCCTCCGAGAATGGGTTGAGCTACACCAACCTGGACTACGCGTCCTCCTCCTACGCGGGTGCGTCGCAGCACCAGCACCCGAACGGGTCCCACGGGTCCGTGGATCCACACCAGAGTTACCACGTCCAGCAGGCGGCTTACAGGGACGAACACCATCACCATCACCCTGGCTCGGCCAATCTCCATCAGGCCTCTATGGTCTCTGGACACAGGACGGAACACGAGCAACAGCTGCATCATCAGTCTTCTAGTCATCACCACCACCATCACCATCACCATGAGCCCGACTATCAGCTACCAGTCGCTGGCACCACCAACTATCTCCATCAGCTGCCAACCGCGGAGGACACTCTCCACTATCATCCTCAGATCCGGCAGAACGATTACACCGCGCACACGACTGCACACTACAAGGAGGAGAACCCTGACCCAACGACCTACCATGTCCTCCAGCAATCCGGACATCCGCAGCATCCGCATCAACACGCGCACGGACACCATCACCAGCAACACCATGCGCATCATCCACCTCTGCAGCAGCAGCAGCAGCAACAACCGCATGTGCCCACGTACAAGTGGATGCAAGTGAAGAGAAACGTGCCCAAACCCGTAGGTATGTAGATCGTTTATTCCAACAGCCGACTGGCGTGAAATTAGTATGCCGTGAGAGCGATCCGGTAGCAGCTCGTTAGCTCCTGGTTATCAGGAGGACTATTTTAGACCGAATTGACGGAGGAGTGCCTGTCCGCTCCTCGATCCCTATCTTCCACTGAATTAATGGTCGATCAGAACCGGGACAGCGTAGACCCTTTAGGTGAATCGATTGGCTGCTTCGACGAGTCAATCTCTGTTGGTTTCTTCTGTGCTGATTGGAACTCGGTGTCAATACCTCTGTAATCTTTGATGTGTCCTCAGTTGGACGATCCATAATGGAGTTATAAAGGGATTGCATAATTTAGTGTTTAGTTTGATCTTTGTGCTAATTTTATTTTATGGATGTTTGGGGATAAGGGTAGTTCAAATTACAGATGTGTGTAGATGTGCATTTTGATATGTACTTAGATCTGTGGATTCTGACGTTTAGAGGACTACGTTCTTTTCATGAGTTTCTTGTACAGCTAGAACTTACATTTCTAGATACTTAGGTTCCTAGGTTACGACTTTACTCTACTTCGCTTGATCTTTAAGGTCCTAGATCTTTATGACCTTGAATTCCTATATCTCTTGATCTTTAGGGTCCGAGATCCCTACGTCCACAGATCCTTACGACTCCAAACACCTATGTCAGACTCTAACATTTCTAGATCCCTACATGTCCAAATCCGTATATCTCTAAACATTCGCATCCTTAGATCTCCACGTCCCGTATATGTGAATGTACTTACACCATATTCCAAGTTAGCGAATGATTTATGAAACGAATTCTTTTTTATGGAAATCCGTAGTCGATTGATGTCACTCAATGGCGAGTTCTTGGAAGAACAATTCGTCGTATTTAAGCGTCGCGACACGACCCAATTGTGGCTCGTTGAGCATGCTTTACATAAGTTGGTACATTGAATGCGCCACGTCGAGCAAGCGGTCAATCGAAGCTCTCGGTTAGTTTTCACTTGGGTGGTGAATTCAATTAAGATTGACGGCCAAGTAAAATGTGACGTACTTGTTGGCCGACGACCTAGTGCCTTTGAAACGCAAACTACGCGTAACAAGATTAATAAAACGTGACACGTAATTCCGGTTCGACGGACATCGTTAATCTTCCACGTGCTTTCCTAGCGATCTAACCCCTTCACTGTTTTTGCCAGCAGTCGTTTTTCTTTTTCTTTGCTATTGCTCTTATCGGGAATGGACTTCAAAGATTTCTAGATTCAAAGTTTCCGCGAACGTGTATACAAAAGAACTCTTTTCGAATTTTCATGGAAATTCAGGTTTTATTCGTGGAGAGTCAGGACAGTGGTTCTCTGGCCATTTTGTGACATTTTCAGGTCTCGTGGGATTTATAAAATGAGCGATTATCAAAATGTTAATTGTGTAAATTTGATGAGGATGGGAAGATTTTAATGCTGCACAGTTTTGATAAAAATTGAAATTACTAAATCGAGCAGACTTGAAGAATACAGTTTCCGTCGAATAGTTGTTCTACTCAACTGTTTCACGAGATAAGAAAAATGAGAAAACTTTCTGATAATTTTACATTGGCAATCTGTTATCACAAAAGGACTATAAAATGAAATAGTGACCACTCGTGATAAGAATATAGTTTAAGGTCTCCGATTGCCCTAAATTTTCGATCAACATCCGTACACTAAGATACAATTCAAGAACAAATATAAAAGAAAGATCTCATAAAACAATCTTACGTACACATACAAAGCAATCAAAGAAAATCTTCAAAGTCACGATCGGTCGATCGATCATTTGCAATAAATTAATCGAGCCGGACATCTGAGCTTTTGCTAGAATGGCTATTAAAGAGGTGTCAAATTCGAGTGTAAGGAAAAGCAGTAGCATAGACACGGACGCGCAGTACAAATAGAGCTACACAGTTCAAATAATGTTCGCACGGAAAGAAGAACAGCCACACGGTGTTCGTTAAGCCGTGTACAAATCAAGATTCGATAGACTGGCTGATAACGAACTTTTCTCGAGATACAACGAAAATTTATCGTTATTTATACTGTTCCACCCGTGAGTTATTTAGACGGCTATTTACGCTTATGCGACAGTCGTAAACGAGCCTGATAAGATTATGCACACGAAACCAGCGTAACAGAAGATACCCCGAGGTTTTACGAGAATATCGTTGCCCCGCGACCATAAATCAACCGCTCGCAAACCGCCCGACGACTATCTTTCGCCTACAAACCGCTCACGGATTATTTCCCACCGGATACAGATCTATCGAGCCTCCATCGACAGCGAATTTCTGTTCTGTGTTCTATCGTCTAGATAACGATCCCTTTTTTCTTAATTGTATTAAGCAATATATAGTATACATATATGTATAGCATGTATAGTAACATACATATAACATTAACAATTTTTATTTGTTCCCTCTGAGGAGGCATTTTATATGGTAAAATAAAATCTCACATCAGTATCAATGCAGAAGGTTAATAATCACGAGATACAAACATAAAATAATTTGAAGGAAAAATGGTTATGAAAGAACAAAATTAATATTTCACAAAGTTAAAGTACTAGTTAAGCTATTTAATGACGCACCAGGTGCGTCGTATACTATTTAATGACGCACCAGATGCGTCGCATAAAAGAATTTTTGTTTGTTCCCTCTGAGGAGGCATTTTATATGGTAAAATAAAATCTCACATCAGTATCAATGCAGAAGGTTAATAATCACGAGATACAAACATAAAATAATTTGAAGGAAAAATGGTTATGAAAGAACAAAATTAATATTTCACAAAGTTAAAGTACTAGTTAAGCTATTTAATGACGCACCAGGTGCGTCGTATACTATTTAATGACGCACCAGATGCGTCGCATAAAAGAATTTTTGTTTGTTCCCTCTGAGGAGGCATTTTAAATGGTAAAATAAAATCCCACATTAGTGTCAATGCAGAAGGTTAATAATCACGAGATACAAACATAAAATAATTTGGAGGAAAAAAGATTATGAAAGAACAAAATTAATATTTCTCAAAGTTAAGGTATTAGTTAAGCTGTTTAATGACGCACCGGGTGCGTCGTATACTATTTAATGACGCACCATAAAATCGTAAAATAAAGTCTCATCTCTTATGAAAGGAAATTAATATTTCACAAAGCTGGTGTGTCATTAAACAGCAGATGACGCACCTGGTGCGTCATTAACTAGCATAAGACGCACCTGGTGTGTCATCAAATAGTATACGACACACAAGTAAAAAAAAATTTTGCAAAATACCTCATGTTTTGAGTAAAGTAATTATAAGAAAGAAAGTACATAGTAATTGTTAGAAAGTGAAGTAGTACAAACTTAATTTTCAGTGTTACCGAATTTTATATGAAAATAGATCTGCAGAAAAGTGAAAGTAGAGTAACAAATCTAACATTGTTGTTTAGTTACAAAAGATACGAAGGATTTGGTTTGCTTATCAGCACGACACGTTGTTAAATACTTAATCGCTGTTGCATTAATTTCTGCGATTGTTTACAAATACCTGTAAAAATTGTCCGTTCGCGAATCACTTATCGTGTACATTGGTAGTCGGAAAGATATCGGAGAGCCTCGATAAGATTCTGGATTAAACACGAAATTCTTGCACTCGAGTTATCTGATTAGTTCGAGAGACAAACGATAATTTATGATACGCCTTTACGGTTTTAATTAAAAACATTTGAAACTCGTGTAATCGTAAAAAAACATGCGAGGAAAACTTCGCGTTTAAAATAAATAAATGTGTGATTCTGTAGTAATTAACCAGGATGTAAAGATAACGTTTATGTACCACTCGCTATGTATTAAACATTACTAGTTATGCAGCAATTAAATAAGACATGAAAAATACCTTCCTGAAGCTTGCGATTAAAAATCTCGTAATATCATTCAACAAAGTTGTTGAACATTGATTAATTTACGTAACTGTGTATAATTACTCGCGTCAATGGAAGAAAAAGTACGGTAAAGAAATTAAAAAATGATTCAGAAGTGTACTCTGTTTCTCGGTTTGGAAATTTTATGAATAAGCAGAAGTTGCTTATCGCTCTGTGATTAATTGAATTTCATTGACGCATAGAACCAGTTGCACAAACATAAAGGCATTTTGCATATAAATATCGATGGCTGGTAAACATTGCATAAGGTATGAGGTTTTGTAGACATAGATTATGCTAAATGTTTTGACAGTTGCAATATTTTATGGATTAAATACAAATTTTAAATGAATTGTCAATTAATTGTTTGTTGTGAAGTATAACATGTAATGTAATACAGTATGAAGTCAAAAATAATGTACATATAATGTAACATAATGTTCTGTTACAGTATAACATGTAACATTATGAAATTCAAGTATAATGTATAATGAAATAATTTATAAAGATGCAATATATATCATGTGTTACAATCTTAAAGTGTAACATATAACATTATGAAGTTCAAGTATAATTCAAAATGTAACATTTTATAAAGTTAAGGTTCAATATTTAATATAACATGTTACAAAGTTAAAGTGTAACATATAGCATTATGAAGTTAAAGTATAATTCATAATGTAACATTTTATAAAATTAAGGTTCCATATGTAATAAGACATGTTACAAAGTTAAAGTTTACTAAATAATATAACAAGTTACAAAATTCAAAGACAACATATAAAATTATTATATAACTTGAACTTGCACAAAGTTATCTTTGTCAGAGGCAAATGTGAACATAACCTATAAAACATAACAGTTCAAATTTTAGACAAGTGTACTTCTCCACAGAAGTGTACTTCACTTTCCAAAATTCAAAAAGAATTACAGACTATTATATCTTTAAAGAAAAATTTAATATAAAATTTTAATATAATTAATAACTTTGTCAGGGGTAGATAGCCATAATAAGTTTCATTTTCACACGAAATTATTAAAAAGAGATTCAGCACTAAATGAAGAAATGTCGAAATA